TAAGTATAACACAGATCGGTACGTGCGTGCGTGCGTGCGTGCGTGCGTGCGTGCGTGCGTGTGTGCTCTCTCTCGCGGTGTGTGACTGTATAACAAGGGTGTCGGTACGTGCGTGTGCGCGTGCGTGCGTGTGCGCGTGCGTGCGTGCGTACTATCTCGCGGTGTGTGACTCTTGTGTAACACGGGGTCGGTGCGTGCGTGTGTGTGCTCTCTCTCGCGGTGTGTGACTGTATATAACAAGGGTGTCGGTGCGTGCGCGTGCGCGCTCTCGTTTGACGTGGGGTCGGCGCTCGCGACTAGCATTGCTCTAATTCACGTGAACAATCTACAGATTAAAATCCCACGCTCAATTATCGCGGCGCTTAAAACGCGAAATCGCGGCGTTCATCTGTCTGTTTGATCAACTTTTGTCTCTTTCCGTTTTCGATAAATAGTCGTTCGGACTTCGAAGGCCACTATTTACGAGGTTATCTTTCGAGAGTAATTGATTTTTTTGCCGGTCCATCGATTCGACAGATAGCATCGATAAACGCGGCACTTTTCCGACATGGTTTTTGTACGGTTGCCGGCGGCGCCGCCTCCGACGACGATGGTTTCGGCTCGCGTTTGTTAACGCGGGGGCGTGGAACGACTGTCGTCAATCGACGTTCATCGAGCGTTCTTTTCGCTCCGGTTGCACGTAAACGCGCGCGCGCCATTCTGGGAGTTCAACGTCTTCTCCCGATTACTCGCAATCTAGCCGTCGTCATGGAAACCGACTTCGTTCTCGAACCAAGTGCGGCGCGCGCGCGGCAAACCTTCCGTGTAATTGCGGTGAGAGAGAGAGAGTAAAAAGAAAAAAAATTGTTGACGCGCTCGCTTGATTTTCCGGTCGTTGGCTTCACGTCATAGCGCGGCGCGGTCCTGAGGTTAGGGGGAGAGGGGGGGGGGAATAGCAGTGTGACCCATCATCTACCTGTCTTTTGGACGGCCTATTCTTGGATGAGATGGATGAAATTTGATAGAGACGGCATGAGGGCAGCCCAATATATTTACACCTTGTATAACTGACAACAGTGCTTATAAGAATATAAAATCATATCAGATTCCTGTCTTTGGCATTTCAGACTAAATTTCCTCCATTGTAAGGTAAGGCCCTCCCCCCTAGGGTGCTTTGCGCCTGCAGCATCCTTGCTTCGCTCAGATGGTGAGGCTCCCTGATATTTTTCCCTGGCTAACACCCTGGGGAATTGTGACAGATAGCATCACGATGGTATGTGTCATTGTAGGGTATTAGTTTCAATAATTTAGGGTCCTCGTCTAATTGTTTGTCATAGTGTGTGGTGTATCGGATCCACGGCGAGCGAGCGGGAGAGGGGTAGTGACGCTGAGAGGGTCTATGTCCCCCAGGGTACTGCCGGAACGTACCCTGGGTACGGTCCGGTATACCGGAACGTACCCTGGTACTGTCTAATATGCCGGACCGTACCTCGCCTACTCCACTAACGAGTCTAGGGTGTCGCCTACGCCTACTCCCTAACCCTAACCCTAACCATATCAGATAGTTACCAGGGTACGTTCCGGCAGTACCCTGGGGGACATAGACCCTATGAGCGGTAGTGACAGCTCTGTGATGCATGTTGTTGTAGGGTATTGGTTTCAATAATTTAGGGTCTCGTCTAACTATTCTTTGTCGCAGTGTGATGTGTATCGGTTCCCCGGCTCACGCGCGATAGAGAGAGTGGGGATAGTGACAGCTATAGTCTTACTACAACACATGTCGTTGTAGGGTATTGGTCAATAATTCAGGGTCTCGGAAACGAGTCTGCAACCCCCAACTAGACTACATGCAGTTGCAGTAAGGCCAAAACAAAATATATGTGTGGTTACCGTTACATGTCGAAAAAAATAGGGTAGGTAGGTAGGGAAAACATTTTATTTTCTTGAAATATTTTATTTACGAACCATGTTCGAAAAATGTGCGTTGTGCCTTGTGAAGCAGGAACTGTTCAATTCATATTTTTATTTTATTTTACTTTAAAGAACTTTGACAATAAAATGTTTAGGGTCGCTGGGAATAAATAGGGTTGGTCGGGAAACCGTATCCACACCTATATTTTGTTTTGGCCTAAGGCGACTGCAAACAACTATTAAGAATGACACAGTTTCGTTAGACCTATCGGTTTATCGCTTTTATTGCTGGCCATGCTCTCTATCCTTGAGCCGATCTATCTACATCTTGTTCGCGTGATGTGCCTCGTTTCTGAATGTGCCAAATCGGGAGCATAATTATGATATATATGCGTATCTCTATATATATATATCAGATATAATGTTCTGTTGTTGTTCCAAAAACAGTCTTGTATTGCGAGACGTCATTATTACATTATATTCTCACAGCTAGCTGCATGCCTCAGGCTCAGGCTGATTGTGCTGTTTATAGAGGTGCTGAATACAATATCACGTTTGCTGATAGGCTATATAAATAGTTGCACATCGATCATGAATTCTGGCTAGATGCAGTATCCGGAAAACACGGGTCTGCGATACGTACCTACGTGTACTTTATTTGGGTTATTACTATTAGGTCAAGCGCTAATCACGGCAAGGTGAGATGGCCTCCATTGTTTTTACTCGTACGGATTTCGTACGCCCGTCGCTGCCAATCCCCGCTGTTTATTTCTCCTCGGTTTGCTTCCGCAGGTGTCTGCAGCTACTGGAGCCAACTTGCCCAATCTCACGCTGGATCCGCGAGCATGGAAATCTCCGGAGACGGCCCCTCGCCGGGATGCGGAGCGAGCGCGGAGGACGAGGGAGAGGAGGACCTCGATGACTCATCGATGGATCTCATCCTCCTCCCACTCACCGACGAGAATTGCAACGAGCTGAGCGGACAGGGAGATAGAGGGCGCTACACGAGCACGGGCAGCGACGGGAGCGTCGACGGTGAGGACGCGTCGTCCCGGGCGGAACCGAAGCAGGGGAAGAGCAAAAACAGGTGAGAGAAGCAGCAATCCCAGGTGAGAGAAGCAGCAAACCCAGGTGAGAGAAGCAGCAATCCCAGGTGAGAGAAGCAGCAAACCCAGGTGAGAGAAGCAGCAATCCAGGTGAGAGACGCAGCAAAAAACCCAGGTGAGAGAAGCAGGGGAAGAGCAATCACAGGTGAGAGAAGCAGGGGAAGAGCAATCCTAGGTGAGAGAAGCAGCAATCCCAGGTGAGAGAAGCAGGCAATCCCAGGCTGAGAGAAGGCCAAAGGGGGGGGAAAAAAGAGCAATCAACTAGGTGAGAGAAGCAGCAGGGAAGAGCAATCCTAGGTTGAAGAGAACAAGCAATCCCAGGTGAGAGAAGCAGCAAACCCAGGTGAGAGAAGGTCAGCAATCCCAGTGATCGAGACGCGTAAACTCCAGGTGAGAGAAGCAGCAAACCCAGGTGAGAGAAGCACGAATCCGCAGGTGAGGAAGCATAAACCCAGGTTGAGAGAAGCAGGAAACGACCAAGGTGAATGAAGCAGCAAACCCAGTGAGAGAACAGGGGAAGAGCAATACCAGGTGAGGGAGAAGGACGGTGGCAGAGCAAATGACCTAGAAAATTATACTAAGTTAGTTCTATGATTGCTAACTTTAACTCAAGTAAGCAATTGAGGGAAGAAGAGCGATGCAGAGCGAATGAGGCTACGAAATTACAATTGGAAGAAAGAGACCAACTCCTAACTCATAACTTCCTAACAGGGATGAATGAAATAATCAAGAGAGATCTTAACTATAACCTTAAAGGCTTACCCTCTAAACCTTAATCTTAACTCCTCATCCCAATCCATAAATTCCTAACCCTGTCCTTACACCTAACCTTAATCCTAACCCCAATTCCTAACCCTGTCCTTACACCTAACCTTAATCCTAACCCCAATTCCTAACGTTCACTGTCCTTACACCTAATCTTAATCCTAACCCTAATTCCTAACCATGTCCTTCCACCTAACCTTAATCCTAACCCCAGTTCCTAACCCTGTCCTTACACCTAACCTTAATCCTAAGACGTAATTTCTAACCCTGTCCTGTACACCCTAACCTAATGCCAACCCCAATTCCTAACCCTGTCCTCACACCTAACCTAATCCTAACCCCAATTCCTAACGCCTTGTCCTTACAGCATAACCTTAATCCTAAACCCCAATTCTTAACGCCTGTCCTTATCACCTAGAGCCTACACCTTAATGCCGTAACCCTAATTCCTAACGCCCCTGTCCTCAACACCATAACCTTAATTCCTAACCGCGCAATTCTAACCCGTCCTTACACCTAAGCCTTAATCCTAACCCTAATTCCTAACCCTGTCCTTACATCTAACCTTAATCCTAACCCCAATTCCTAACCCTGTTGCTAATTCGTGACCCGCCGTAACCCGTTACGGACTCTAACCCCCCCGAGGGTGTTGTGTAAAAAAACTAGAGAGATCGTCGACCTTCCTTCTCGCGCTTCGCTTCAGGGTTTTCCTCTCGGCAGCCGCAGCCAGCAGAAGCTGCAATGGACTTCGGCCATCAACAAGCGATGGCGAAGGACGACCCGTGGGCGGACTTCAGCATCAATGAGCTAATGACGGAGAGCGTGCGCCGACATCGCTACAGCGCCATCCGCAAGAAGTGGACGACGGACGAGGTGCAGGTCAAGGTGGAGGCTGTGGTAAGCTTGATTAGAATTAATTAGTGAAGCATAATTAAGCAGTGGTAGGATTCATTAGTGAAGGTGGAGGCTGTGGTAAGCTTGATTAGAATTAATTAGTGAAGGTTGAGGCAGTGGTAGGATTAATTAGTCAAGGTGGAGGCTGTGGTAAGCTTGATTAGAATTAATTCGTGAAGCATAATTAAGCAGTGGTAGGATTAATTAGTGAAGGTGGAGGCTGTGGTAAGCTTAATGAATCAAAGGCGAGGCAGTGGTAGGATCAATGTGTGAAGGTGGAGCGCAGTGGTAAGCGTAATACTAAATTACTAGTGTACGCGTAAGTTCGTCGTTAAGTAGGCTGTGGTGGTGGAGGGCAGGATGGGTTGCTAGTGTTAGTACAGGTGAAGGGAGGCAGGATGGGTTGCTAGATAGTAACAGGTGGATGGAGGCAGAGGTTGCTGTGTTGAGTAGCAGGTGAGGGAGGCAGGATGGTTGCTGTGTTAGTACAGGTGAGGGAGCTAAGGATGGGTGCTG